CCCCCCTTGGATACCAAAATCTGTGAATGCCCAAGTCTCATACAAAATGATGTAGTAGCCCAGCTAGTGTGGCTCAGTGGTTGAGCATTGACCTATGCACCAAGAGGTCACTGGTTCAATTCCCAGTCAGGGACCATGAGTTGTGGGCTTGAATCCTGGTAGAGGGTGTGTAGGAGGCAGACGATCGATGTTGATGCTTGTCTCTCTCATTGATGTCTTTATCTCTCTCTCCCTCTCCTTTCCTCTCTTTCTAAAAAAATCCATTAAAAACATTAAAAAACAAACAAAAAAACCAAAATGGCATAGTATTTCCATATAAACTATGCACATTCTCACATATACTTTAAATCATATCTAGATTACTTATAATACCTAATACAATATAAATTCTATGTAAATTGTTATACTGTATTGTTTGGGGAATAGTGACAAGAAAAAAAGTATGTACGTTTAGTACAGATTCAGCCATCATAAACATAATTACATAGTGCATGTCAACAGCAACATAATATATATTTTTCAAATATTTTTGACCCACCGTTGGTTGAATCTGCAGATGCAGAATCCATGTATATGGAGGGTCAACTGTATAACATGTAGAGGTAAGATATATTCTATAACTAGATGGCCAAATAGTTTGGTTATATGTAGTTACTTAGATATTATGTAAAAAGCAGGCCAAGTATTAGAATAGATATAGCCTAGTACTCTTTAAGTTTTTGTTAATATTGTTAAGAATATCATAGCTCAGTAGTAGATTGCTTGTTATAGAAAAGCTCTTTGAGTCCGGCCTGTGTGTCTCAGTGGTTGAGCATTGACCCATGCACCAAGAGGTTGCCAGTTCGATTCCTGGTCAGGGCGCGTGCCCAGGTTGTGGGCCTGATCCCCAGTGGGGAGGGGGGGCATGCAGGAGCCGGCCAATTGATGTTCTCTCTCATCGATGTTTCTATTTTTCTCTTCCTCTCCCTTCCTCTCTCTCTAAAATCAATAAAGGGAAAAAATTTAAAAAAGAAAAGAAAAGAAAAGCTCTTTGAAATCTTTTCACTAGTTTCAATGTCAGATGTGTGTGCATATATATAGATTACATATAAGAAAGCATATGGAAGTATTTGATAAACTGTATTGTATAAATGTTATTATTATAAGGAAGACAGACTAGTTATTTTTTAACACTAAGAGACTAAAATTCAGAGATAAAGTTCTGAAAAAGGAACATGTAAGGGGTATGATACTGGAGGGTGCCTGAGTGTTTTGGGGCTGATTCTGGTATTTACATTAATGCTTTATGCCAAGTAAAACTTTGAGTAAAGGCAGATGATTTGTCAATAGACCTCCAAGTGGTAGTAAAAAGTGTTTGTATGGCTTAAAATAATGAAAACAACTTATATGTATATGTTATGTTTTATTACTTTAATATATATTATCTCATCTGATTCTCATTATAGCCTTGATAACAGGAATTTAGAGATATTAAATGATTTGCCTAAATTTCTCATCTATTAAGTGGCAGAGGTGAGTGGCTAGTGTGGTTTAGTGGATTGAGCATCGACCCAAGGACTGAGAGGTCCTGGTTCAATTCTCTGTCAGGGCACATGCCCAGGTTTCAGGCTAGATCCCCAGTAGGGGGCGTGCACAAGGCAGCTGATCACTGTTTCTCTCTCACATTGATCTATCTCTCTCTCCGTGCATCTCACTAAAAAAAAAAAATAATAATAATAATAAGAAGAAGAACATATTTAAAAAATAAGCAAATAGACTTTATTTTATAGTGTTTTTGGCTTTCTTTTTACTTTTGAAAACAATAAATGAGCTTTATTCACATCGTTTTTCTGCTCCATTTTCCTTAAAGGCTGCCACTATTGTTCCCTTTATATGCTCTATTTTTGTCATGATAATTATTTACAGGGATGGCAATTGCTTGCCCCCGCCCCCAAACCCTACATTTATCTCATGAAAACTTAGATGATGAAAATTTAACATAAAGTGATTGTGTAAGAGTGATTGTGCTCAGTCTGAAAAAAGTGAATTAAGAGTGAAATGTCTCTAAAATACTATGTAGTTTAATAATGATCATGGTGATCCATTACCCTATTGCATCTAATTGCAATGAGTATATTTGTATATATAATAATTTTATTCTATGAATTTTCTAAGGACAACTTTCTAGGTGTGATATTTACAGAGTTTTTAAAATAATTTTAGATAACTGTTTCCAAATGTTTGAAAGGATTATTTACAAAGCTATAAGTGTACAAGTATCTGCTGTTTTGTCAAAAGCAAGTAGATTGTTTTATTATTTGAAATCTTAAAATTATAATTGCTTCTTTATTAACTTGAAATTTTCGAGTTGAGGTAAATTCTGGTCTTTCAACTTTACCACTATTATTCTTTTATGTGTTTAAGATATTTGAACAATTATGAAAATTATTTTTCTTAAATGTTTTTATTGACTTTTTTAGAGAGAGAGGTAGGGAGAGGGATAGAAACATGTGAGAAAGAAACATTGACTGACTGCCTCCTGCAGGCCCCCTACTGGGGATCAAGCCTGCAACCCAGGCATGTGCCCTGACCAGGAATTGAACTGGGACCTCTCAGTCCATGGGATGATTGATGCTCAATCCACTAAGCCACACCAGCTGGGCTGAAAATTCTTTTATCACCCTTCTCTATGTGTGGAGAACTAGATTCTTTTCATTTATGAATAAATAATACATTTCTCAGAAATGTGAAAAACCTAGTCTCTGGGTTCTAAAATCATTTAATGTGTCAAGTCCTTATTGTATTTCTAGGTCTTTGAAAATTATTAAATCTAATTTTTAAAAATCTACTCTTTTTTTCTTAGCTTTACCTACCAGATCAATTTAGATTTTCATAGATAGTAATGCCAGTGTTCCTTTGGTAATGAATATTTAAAGGAACTCTCTTGGAAATTAAGTATAGAATAGATGGTTTTTATTATGTTTTACCCTACTCTAAGTTGCTTATCCCTGCACTGGACTCCAATTTGCAATATGCTATATATATATTTTTTTAAGTAGAAGTCTTAGAGTTATGTTGAATGTTATTAGCATTTTTTTTGGATTTGAAAATTTATCTTTTGACATTGAGTATTTCTTGATGAGACTAAAATATTTGCTGAATAGCTGACAAACCTCTATAACCTGTAAGTAGGCTAGATAAATGTTATACATTTCTAATACCAAGGTGTTTTTATCTTTTTTTTTTTTAACCTTCATCTGAGGATATTTTCCATTTATCTTCAGATAGAGTAAGAAGGAGGAAGAGAGGGAGGGAGAGACAGAGAGAAACATCGAGGTGAGAGAGACACATCCATTGGTTGCCTCCTGCACCACCCCAACCAGGGCCAGGATGAACCTCAGCTGAGGTACATGCCCTTGGCTGGAATCAAACCCAAAAGTCTTTGGTCTGTGGGTTGACACTCTAACTGCTGAACCAAACCAGCCAGGGCAATCAAGATGTTTTTAAAGTAGAGAGTTTTGAGAAATAGGAAATCCTAAGCTAGCAATATGCACAAAGATGGACATCTGAAAGAATTGCTGAATAATTAATGTAAAGCTATTTGGCATATATAGTAGGCATCCCCATATCTTTAAGGTTAACATGTGATCATTACCTTTTCATTATATTCTGAACATATATGTACATTTACTTTCTCCATAAATGTTCTTTTTTATTTTAAGTTTGCAGATTTAAGATAATTAAGTATAAGACTCTATGCAATTCTTTTGACATTTTCTCATCAATCCACCTTTCCAGTATTATTAGAAATGGAAACATTTTTGAAAATACAGAGACCATATAGGAAACAGATTAGTTATATACATTGAAAATATTTGTCATAAATATTCAAAATATATATTAAAAAACAGGCATCTAAAGGGTATTAAATAATATGATGTAAAATTTGTTGATAAAAAATACAAAACTACAACCAATAACCATAAATATTCATAAGAAAAAAGATTAGAAGGAAATATACTGATATTTAGCAGGGATTACCTCAAGTGGTATGATAGAGAGGCTTTAATTTTAATCTCTTTTTCATTCTGTTTTCCAAAATCTTTAACAATAATTTATATTTATAATTAGGGAAAATGAGTTTCTAAAAGAAAAAATATTTCTCATATTATTGCCCTGTAAATTGGCATATCCAGATTTTAAGCTGACCCAGTTAAGGTCTTGGAAGAAACATGAGTATTTACTGTTGGTAACCTGATACTTTTCTCCTATCTTTTCTGCAGCACAAAAGGTCTTTAAGTGACCATAAGGAATGGGGGTGTCTCATTCTGTTTTAGTCGAAGTAACTAAAATCAGATATGAAGATTTCATAAATAGTTTGCTAGAACTGTTAAATTTTGTATACTACAAAAAACTATTTAAAATTATTAACTAAAATAATATTTAAGTCCTTTACTTATTTTAAAATATTGCTTTTGACTTTTTACAATGTGAGATTGGTATATTGACTTCCTGGCGTTTTTGATTCATAGACCTAAGGAATTTTGAAAATGACACAAATATTTCAAAAAATTTAATTTAAACAAACTGTATTTTAGCATTGTATATCTTACACTTGAATAACTTGAAATTGAAATGAAAATACCTAAAATAAGTTCATGGGTACTTTTATTTGTTTAATAACTTTAATTTGTTTTAACATAGGATGCTTAATAGCTATAATTATTTTTGTTGCTTTTCACCTAGAATGGAATTTTTTTAAAAAGCATAGTTATGACATTCTATGTTGAAATATTCGTTTCTTAATCTACTTGGCCTCTTAAAAAGGAAAAAAACCTGGTAGAGCCAGAAGGAAAATGAATAGTTAATTGTGGAGGAGGAGAAAACCTAGCTCAGTACTTTGACTAGCGGCAGCTGGGGAAGTGACGTCCTGTAGCATTTGCTGTTCTAGAAAGTACAGAGACACGTAGTGAAAATGGGAGGATCTAGAAGGAGGCTGTCTCCTGTGTAGTGTATATTTATCTGTAAGTGAGCTGTTAGGGAAGGAATTAAATACGGATATGCTGTCTGCTTGCTGCCTTAAGACAGCGAAGCTGAATTGCTGATTCGTTTTAACTTTTAAAATACCCTGCTTGGTGTATATTTCTTAGAATTGTTGTATTGCTAAGACTGGGGACGCTGTTTTCTTTCACAAAGGGAAATCTAAGTTCATTTCAAGGCATTCGAAATGGGGAAAGACTATTATTCCATTTTGGGAATTGAAAAAGGAGCGTCAGATGAAGATATTAAAAAGGCTTACCGAAAACAAGCCCTCAAATTTCACCCGGACAAGAACAAATCTCCTCAGGCAGAGGAAAAATTTAAAGAGGTCGCAGAAGCTTATGAAGTATTGAGTGATCCTAAAAAGAGAGAAATATATGATCAGTTTGGGGAGGAAGGTAAGTATTCCGTGTATATCCTTCTGTCTCTCCAGCTCTGTGTCTTTCTCTCTCTTTTTTCCCCTTTCTCTATCAGCCTTCTGGTTATCATTATATTAAATTCTCAGACATATCAAAGTGAAAGATAAATAATGGATTAAAAGCAAAATTTTATCTCTGATCATATGAATGAATATTACATAGCTGTGAATCAAATATACTTGTTTGCTTTTTTTTAGATTTTGGCATTTTGTAATATCCATATTCTACAATTAGATTTATAATGTTAACATTGTATGTTTGAAAAGAAACCTTAAATTCTCATACACATTAATGAGTTGTGTCAAAAGTCTTATGCAACCTGTTTTATTTTTTAATGAGTTTTCTGCCAGAACCAGTAAAGATCCGTCAATCATTTAAAAATCTTAAGATTGACAGCTCAAATTCTGGGTAGTTATATTTTATTCACAATGACAAAAGAAGTAATTGCCTTTCTTATAAGCAAAGCTAGTTTAGCCTGAACAAGAGAGCCGTCTCTGAGAAGAAGGCCCAGGCATTTAGCTCTAGTTGTTTTTGGCATTCCGCCTGGGGAGGAAAGAATTTTCCTGATGTCATAAAATACCAGAACAAGTTTTTAGCTTAATTGTAAACAGTAATTGTGTGCCAAAAAAATGAGATCTCAGAAATACAGTTTTTGACCTAAAATGGCCACTTAGCACAATTATTGATGGACTTTTAGGGAACACTGTTTCTTTTGAAATTTTACCGTCTAGGTATAGAGAAAAGCATGACAACTTCCCTTTCCTCTCCCTGCCATACTTTTTTTTTCTTGCATTGTGAGATCAGAAACTAGTTGAATACAGCAATTGGGGTATTTTAAGATTCTTTTATCACTCTGGATTTTAAATTAAATTTGTCATCATTTTCATATAAATGCAGCTATAAAGTAAACATATTTTAAATTGCTAATAGCAACAAAAATACTTTACTTCCTACAGCTTATGGGATTTCCAATTTTTTAAATCAAGACTAAATTATTTTATTATTTTCACCCAAAATGTTCTCTTTTAAATTATTGTAGTCATGAAAACTTTCTTTTGTTATTTCTTTGCTTCCTTTACTGCATTTAATGTTAAATTTTTCTAATTAGAAATATACCCTAAAATACAGTGAAACAGTGACTGATGATTTTAAGTTAAAAATTAAAAATATTAAATTTAGATAAGCAGGATGTGTTGAGGGTTTTTTTCCTTCTTGTTTTGTTTTTGTTTTTTATCTGAGTTGCCAAAAATTGCATTTTTTGGTGCTACTTTTGGTGTGATGAGGACCTGCAGTGTCAGATTCTTTATAAAGTAAATATTGCAAAAGGCAAATAGTTGGCAATTCAATCATGGTTGCTCCTATGGCCATACTACTCAAAATATTATGATTTGGTTCATCTCAAAAGCTAAGCAGGATTCTCAGATACTACTAACAGTGTACTGTTTCCGAATAATTTATTTTGTAGTTTTGTAAAGAAATCCACAAATAGGGGTGATAAATGGTGATGGAAGGAGACTTGCCTTGGGAACACACAACACAATGTACAGATGATGTATTATAGAATTGTACACCTGAAACCTATATAATTTTATTAATCAATGTTACCCCAATGAATTCCATTTTTAAAAAATCCCCAAATATAAATTCCCATGGAAAAATAGATACCCACTGCTTTAATCCTCATCTCATTGATAGCTAAAGTTTGTCTATGACTAAGCCATAGGACTTAGTGTTTACTGAGGATATTTGTCTTCAGAATTTTCAAGTCACCAAATGATACATATCTCTTGGTTTAACATTAGTGATTTCTTGAGTGATATTTCTCCAGTTTGATTTTTACTAATTGTCAGTCAGTGAGTGAATTAAAAAACAAACAACAACAAAAAAACCCCACAAAAGTAGGATCATCTATGTACCCTGAATTTTTTGTTGTTGTTCTTGACTCAGATAATTTATATAAACAACAGATGTAATAGTGAGGGGAGAATAAGTTTCTAAATAATATATTTCAAAGCATTCTCTAGTTATGTTACTTGGAAATACAGTTACTGTATTTGATTCCTTTTTAGAAAGTATTCTTCCTTTACAGAAAAGCATTATATTTGCCTTTTATTCAGAATGTCTTTTCTTTCTTTCTTTTAATTCCCTTTAGGGATACTGTGAAAATGTGGGAAAACATTTTTCTCTTTGCCTTTCATAGATCTGTTCATGCCTGCAGGCCTGGTTCCATAGCCTTATGGGTTTCTCTAGCAGTAACAAAACACTGAATTTTATAACTGGAGGTTACTAATTTACCTGATGTACTTTCTTTTTTTCAATTATTGCACTGTTTCAAGGCCTGAGACAGTGGGAAGGAACCATGAACTGAGAAGTGTATGAGTTGAACATGCTGAATTGTGTATTTAGAAACTAAGAGAACTAGTGATCCATTTTATTCATGGTTTGAAAATCTCTAATATCTACAATTTTAAACGCTAGGGTTAAAAAATTTTTTTTATTTGATTTTTAGAGAGAGAGAGGGAGAGGAAGAGAGAGAAAGAGAAAGAGAGAAACATCAGTTTGTTGTTCCACTAATTATTTATGCATTCATTGGTTGATTCTTGTATGTACCCCAGCCGGAGATTGAACCTACATCCTTGATGTATCTAGACAATGCTCTAACCAACTGAGCTACCCAGCCAGGCCTTAAATGCTGTTGTTTTTTTAAAGTTGGATAAAAATAGAGATATTTTAAATTTAGTACATGACCTAGCAAGTCCATTCCTAGGAATCTATAAAAGAGAAATGAAAATATGGATCCACACCAAGACATTTATGTGAATGTTCATAGCAGCATTATTTGTAATGGTCCCCAACTGGAGACAAGTCAAAAGTACCACCATTTGGTGAATGGATAAACAAAATGTGGGATATACTATGTATGTGCACTCTAACACACACACACACACACACACACACACACACACACACTGGAATGCTACTTAGTGATCGAAAGGACCAATTTAATGAAGCCTGCTACATCATGGATAAAATTAAAAAACAATGCTAAATAAAAGAAGTCAGATGTAAAACACTATATAATCTCTAATTCCGTTTATATGAAAAACATGGACAATGCGAATTTGTAAAGAAATAATGCAAATCAGTGGTTGCCTAGAGCTAGAGGTAGGAAAAGGGATTAGCTACAAATAGAAATTAGAAAAAAAATGTTCTATAACTATTGTGATGGTCCCACAACTCTACAACTTTACTAAAATCATTGAATTGTATATTTTAAATGGGTTAATTTTATGGTATGTAATAAATAATGTTATTTTAAAAACCAAATTGTCTACATAGTCAAATCATTTGAAAACAACAACAAAAAAAGCACAGAACTACAGAAATTTAAAATCAAATTTTGAATCAATTTCTCCCCAAAAGTTTTAGGTTTAGTTCTGAATTGTTCAGTGGATGTCAACACAAACTTGCACTAAAAAACTAAAAAAACTTTTTTTCCCCTCCAATGTTTATTAATTTATTTTTGTTACAGATGTTTCTTCTTTCCCCCCCGAACCCCCTCCTTCCCCCCCTCCCCCCACTCCCCTAGGATTGTTGTCTATGTCCATTGGTTATACATACATACATATAAGTTCTTTGGTTCATCTCATCCATCCCTCCTGCCCCCCCCCCCCCTTTGTTTGTCAGTCTGAACCATACTACTTTCTATGTCTATGTCTTTGGGTCTATTTCATTCAAAAAAAATTTTTTTCAATAACACATCCTTATAGTATTCTAGTTCTCTAACATTTTTTATTGTCTTCTTTTTTTGTTTATGGTTTAATCATAACTTAAATACTGAAAGGTAGTCTTTATATGATCAGATTTTTATTTAGTACATTAATCTCTATACTAGCTTGCTTCTTCAGTTTTCTATGTTTTAATCAACTGGATCTTTTTATTTACTATATATTTCTAAAAATAAATGAGTTAGATTTTTATGAATCAAAACTGTTTAAAGGCTCTCATGCTAGTAACTATTCTGTTATAAATCTGGATTTTTACATATTAGATCTCCCTAGAGTAAGAGTTATTAAAGTCTTACAATTTTTTCTTTGGAGTCCTAGTTCTTCTCCATTGCTTCTTCTTTTGATAAACTTTTAGTCAACTAACTGGTGAAAATCTTTTTTATGGTTAGTATCCAAAGCACATATTTGTTTTTGGATTGCAAATTGGTTGGTTGGCGGTTCATTTTTTTTTTTTAATCCTCACTAGAGGATATGTTTATTGATTTTTAGGGAGGGAGGGAGGGAAGGAGAGAGAGAGAGAGAGAGAGAGAGGAAGAGAGAGAGAGAGAGAGAGAAATATAGATTGGTTGCCTCCCATATGTGCCGCAACCAGGGCTCAAGCCCAAAACTTTCTGGTGCACAGAATGACACTCCATCCAACTGAGCCACCTGGCCAGGGTGGTTGGTTGTTTTTTATTTATTTAATTTATTTGTTTTTATTTTATTTTTTGTTAATCCTCACCCGAGGATATTTTTCCATTGATTTTTAGATTTTTATAGAATGGAAGGGAAGGAGGAATGGCGAGAGAGAGAGAGAGAGAGAGAGAGAGAGAGAGAGAGAGAGAAACAGAAACATCAATTGATTGCTTCCCACACAACCCCCACTGGGGCTGGGGATCAAACCTGCAACCAAGGTACATGCCCTTGACTAGGAATCGAACCTGGGACCCTTTGGTCCGCAGGCCAATGCTTCAACTGCTGAGCCAAATCAGCCAGGGCGATTGGTTGGCTTTTAAATACAAGCAGTCTTTCTAAAGTGTAGACAAATGTTTATTCTAGAGTGTATTTCTTTGTTTTATTAATCTTCACCTGAGGATTTTTTTCATTGATTTTTTTTTAGATAGAATGGAAGGGAGGGAGAGAGAGAGAGAAACATTAATGCTAGAGAGACACATCAATTGTTTGCCTCCTTGCAAGGCCCTGATTGGGGCCAGGGATCGAACCTGCAACCCAGATACATGCCCTTGACTGGGAATCAAACCTTTGACGCTTCGGTCAAAGGGCTGGTGCTCTAACTGCTGAGCCAAACCAGCCAGGGCTAGAGTGCAATTCTTGATCACATAAAGTGATTGCGGTGTCTGGGAAACATTTTGAATAACAGAAGGAATCCAGTTGAATTTAAAATTTTTTCCATGAGCCATTGAAATGTATATAGAAAGTAGTTGACTCTATGGTCCATGACATGCCTGTTACAATTAAAGTGCCCAGCAATGCAAGTGGACACTTGTGTAATAATTCTTGTTATATTGTAGCAATGTAAATTTTGGTTGGATTTTCTCAGTCATAGTAGCCTGTCATTTACTGAGCAATGTAGTTGACTAGTGTCAAGGAAAACTTCAAAGCTCTATTGGAGGCTTTGATACATGTCATTTTACACTGTATATAACTCTTCTCAGGGACTCTAATCCTGATTGAGTTACTATTTTTGGCAGAGGAGGAAAGGGGTTTCAGGGAAAGCCAAACCCATGATATAATAACTTAAAATATTATTTTTTCTTTTCATGAATTCATTATGGGTTCAAACATTTAGATTTTGTCTTGCCAAGGGTTAGATTGAGCAGTTCATTTACTCAATTTACTTTAACTTTGTTAAATTATTATAGTGTTATATTTTTGGAATGAAAGATGAAATGATTGAAATAATGGTTTAGTCACATTGGTCATGACCTTTAGTTGTATACATATTGTATGATTTAGAAAAATCTGTCACTGTTTTTTTTATTTTATTTTTTAAACATTTGGAGTTATAACTATACCACTAAAATTTAACTAAAAGAAGTTTTGGATGAGCTGCATGTTAACAGTTCTTGTCTTGTCCTGTTTATACTTGTCATTCTGTTCCTACAAGGAATATCCCTAACTGCTATTTGGATATATCATTCAATACGTATTTTGGCAGTGTTCAGATTATTAGGTTTCTCTTGGCCTCTCCAGATTTCTATTCCCGGATGAAGGTAAAAATTTAAACACCAGATAAGATCTTTGGAGGAAGTAGAGTACATTGTACCTTTTAATGGGAGAACTCAAACAGAATAAGACATGTAAAACTAAGTCTCTTTTTTATTTCTTTATTGATATTAGAGAAAGAGGGAGAGGAAGAAAGAGGGAGAGAAAGAGAGAAACATCAATGAGAAAGAACATCGATTGGCTGCCTCCTGCATGCCCCCCACTAGGGATCGGGCCCACAATCTGGGCGTGTGCCCTGACCTGGTATCGAACCGGCGACATCTTGGTGCATGGGACGATGCTCAACCACTGAGCCACACCGGCTGGACAAACTAAGTCTCTTTTAAAGCATGCTTAGTGATTCCAGTAGAATTTTTGTTACTATATATCTCATTTATGTGTGTGTGTGATTATACTTTATATTGCTTTTGCTTCTGCCTCTTCTCTATTCTGACACTCAAGATACCTTTTAAAGTTTCTATTTAGGAGATTTTAAAAATAAACAATTCCCTTTATTCAATAAACATGAGTGCCTGTCATGTTCAGCACTGTATACATGAATAATGCAGAAATGAATAAAATATTTCCTGCCCTCCAATTACTCACTATTTGAACATATTGGGATCTCTTAGTTTAAACTCTTGAATTGATCAGTTTATAATTTTTAGATTCTGTTCGTGCTTGTTTCTTTGTCAGGAATGTCCATAAGGCTTATTCAGAAAGTTTATTGATACTGTCTATAATGATATAAATCCTTATCAGCATTGGGCCCTTAAAAGATCAGTGTACTATTGTTTGTGGGTTTCCGTAGAATCTTTCCTTGGTATGTAGTGGTCATAATGCTTTCAATATGTAAACCCTTGTAAGCTACATATTACTTAGCTGAGCCTTAGAGAACAGGGTCAGAGGATCACTAACTCGGTATCTGAAGTCGGTTGTCCTTAATAGACAGAAATAACCAGTCCAAGGCCTTACATGTCAAGAGGGTTTACAGCTCTTGATTTCAATCTTCTTTTAAAATGTTATTGAGATTAATGCTATCACATGGTATGCCTAAATGAACAATTGTGTTATCTGGGATAGTGATAACAATATTAGTATATAAAAAGATATTTTTTTATATTACTAGAATTTTTCAGCCACAAATAGAGATCTGTTTTAATTCTTAAACAGTAAAAGATTATCTGAAGTAAAACTTTTAGTGGGAATATGGTATTTTATATTGTTGATTATTGTGCTCATTGATGATAATGGTACTTACAAGATTTAGGTTATACATTTTTTACTGATTACTGAAGACCTTTAATTGACATCTTTTAAAAACTTAAATTTATATACTTCAGATTGTCAACCAGTAGCTTATGAAGCAAGATGTTCCTGGTTTTTATTTTCTTATTTATTTGTGGAACAGAGATTCATGAATAGATTATCATAAAGATGGGTATTTGGAGGAAGAATTTGAAGCTAATTTTTTTTTTTCTTCAGATAGAGTGGGAGGGAGGGAGGGAGGGAGGGAAGGAGAGACAGACAGAGAGACAGAGAGACAGAGAGACATTGATGTGAGAGAGACACATCGACTGGTTGCCTCCCGCATGACCCGGACCAGGGCTGGGGATGAACCACAAACCAAGGTATGTGCCCTTGACCGGAATCAAACCCATGACTTAGGTCTGCAGGCTGATGCTCCAACTGCTGAGCCAAAAGGCCAGGGTGAAGCTAAAACTTTAACTTTGGATGGAATGATTAGGAGTTCCATAGGTGTTCTGTATTTAGTTATAATGGCATTTCTGGCCAGTATTAATAACTTACAACCTAAGGTGGCTGAAGCTTATTAGTAATACAATTTTTGAGAGTTTAACTTTCAAGAGTCACAGACTTTATTTTAATCATGCTATTTCTTCACTTAGGTTTGAAAGGAGGAGCAGGAGGTACTGATGGACAAGGAGGTACCTTCCGGTACACCTTTCACGGAGATCCTCATGCCACATTTGCAGCATTTTTCGGAGGTTCCAACCCCTTTGAAATTTTTTTTGGAAGACGGATGGCTGGTGGTAGAGATTCTGATGAAATGGAAGTAGATGGAGATCCTTTTAGTGCCTTTGGATTCAACATGAATGGATATCCAAGAGACAGGAATTCTGTGGGGCCGTCCCGCCTCAAACAAGATCCTCCAATTATTCATGAACTTAGAGTATCACTTGAAGAAATATATAGTGGTTGTACCAAACGGATGAAGATTTCTCGGAAAAGGTTAAACCCCGATGGAAGGAGTTATAGATCTGAGGACAAAATTCTTACCATTGAGATAAAAAAAGGGTGGAAAGAAGGCACCAAAATTACTTTTCCAAGGGAAGGAGATGAAACACCAACTAGTATTCCAGCAGACATTGTTTTTATTATTAAAGATAAAGATCACCCAAAATTTAAAAGGGATGGATCAAATATAATTTATACAGCTAAAATTAGTTTACGAGAGGTAAGTTAATAAAACCTAGAATTCTGAAACCAAACAATTATGCATTTGATTTTTGGGAATTTAAATAATAGCTAAGATTTATTTAATGCTTACCACACATTATTTTTTAAAGTCTCATAAGAATCCTTTGAGGTAGTACTACTACTATACCTCTTCTATGGATAAAATTGTATATTCTAAGTTTAATTACCTATACTGACAATTTAATGCCAATTTTAAGTGCTAACTGGATTGTGTACTATGAGGCCTAATAATGAGTTACGTGTACTCTATTTTTACAAGTATGGCTTATGAAAACTGCATTGTTATCTCCTCACCTTAGTACATGTATAAGATTTTTTTGAAAAATTGTTAATTTGGAGTAATTATATAACAAAAAATGTATTAAAATACAAAATAATTTATAAGGGTACTGCTTTAATACATGAGTTTTTATTTATTCTATTTTTCAAGTTATATTATAATACTGAAAATATGGCCATGACAGTTCCTTGTTTAAAATTCTTAAATGATTCCACATAGCATCTATCATAATGTCCAAACTCTTTAGTTTAACATAAAAGGTCATTTTAGATCTCATTTCTACCCATAAATGTATATGCATTTCCCTAAGTTTGCTCTGTTATTATCATATATATATTTATATATCTTTATATCTATCTATCTATCTATCTATCTATCTATCTATCTATCTATCTATCATCTGTCATTGTCTGAGCTCTACTGTGGAACACTATTGTTCCTCACTCTGCCTCAATACTAACTACTAGTCCAATGCTTAGTTTAAGCATTCTGTACTCCCAGAAGCTAAGGGGGTATGTTGGGTGCCCTTTCTCTCAGAAAAGACTTCTGCACATACTGTTGTGCCAACATTTTACTGTATTATAACTAGTAAATTGCTTTTGTGTTCACTGTATATTCCTTGAGGTGGGGTTTATGTTCATGGTCCCTATGTATGATCAGCCCCTAGCAGGAATGTGTGGCATTTAGTAGGTACTCAGTAAACATTTGTTGACTAAAACAATAAATGTATTTCTTGTTCTAATGTTTTCCCTCCAGAGAAATAGGTAGTTGCTTCTATCCTATTTTTTCTAGTTCTAAATTTCTCCCTCCTCCTTCTCCCATTCCATCCCTACATCTTGAATGTTCTAAGAGCAGACTCAGACTATCCATTTCAGTCCAGGGCAATGTGAAAGACATTCTTTACTTCTCTTTCCCTTTTCTTCCCCTTCTCCTTTTCTTCCTTTCTAACATGCCTGATTGTACATGTCCTAAAGGTATTTTCTAATGGGGGAAATAGCCTTATAATTATTAATATTCTTTTGGAGGTTAAAATTTTGCCATAGTGTTATCCTTTACATTAGGTAATAGTTTTGTTTAGACTTTTAAGTTTTGAAGTTTGTTAATTTTATTTTGTGCATTTTAGGCATTGTGTGGCTGCTCAGTTAATGTGCCAACAATGGATGGAAGAACCATACCTATGTCAATAAATGATATTGTGAAACCTGGAATGAGGAGAAGAATTATTGGATATGGACTACCATTTCCAAAAAATCCTGATCAACGTGGTGACCTTCTAATAGAATTTGAGGTGTCTTTCCCAGATTCTATATCCTCATCATCCAAAGAAGTACTTAGGAAACATCTTCCTGCCTCATAGAATGAAAAACTTTGTTACCCGTATTTTGATAAGGCACTGAAAATATAAAAGGACTGGCTGTTTACTGATGTAGATGTGAATTCTGTATAAAGATGTCTAAATTATATTGAGGATTCATTAAATTGCATGACTAGAGACGGGTCAAATAAATAGGCAAAAGGGATTTTTACAGTTATAGATGAAGAGAAACCATTCACTCTATTTTGTTTCTCCCAAGTCAGAAATTTTTAGTATTTTGCTTACAGGTAAAATTTGTTTTTGTGGAGTTAGTAGATATATTTCTAATAAAGTACAAGACTATCCAAGTACTTTATTTCTTATATCTTTACATTATCAGTACAGTAGTTTCCCATTTATAATGAAAATTTAAATTTTTAACTAAGCTATACATGTGATATGTATTTCTAGAAAATAAAAACCCAAGTCATTTGGAAATGTGGTGAACTAGATTCAAATCACTATCTGAAATGCTGCTATTGGGCTGGTACCCATAAAAGAAGACCCAAATACATAATGTTTTACCATTTTGATTTTTAAACTATGCTATAGCATTTGTTAATAACATCGTTGTAATGTTCTTAAGGCAGACCTTTTCTCCATAAAAAGGAAATTAATGGCAATTTATCTCCTGTGGAAATCCCAATTGCCTGAATTACTGATATTTTAGAAATAGGCTGTTTTTAAAATGCCGTATGTAATTTTATGCAAGTTGACTATATCTCTTGACTTAATAAGTTATAGGCACATTTTATTGTCCACTAGTTTAAACTAGTTTGTTTAATAATAAATATGCTTTTAGAGGAAATGTTGTTACTTGGAATTAATTTTCCAATTACACAGTCTTCTATAACTTACTCAAAATATGCTATATGTACCTTACATAATTTCCCTAAAAAGAATAAACTACCACTATGGTGTTAAGCCAAAATATGGGAAAAATAAATACTAACTGCTGCTTATTAATGATGTTGCTACTACTTGTTATGCATATAAATATTTTACTTTTTCATATGAATAGATTGCATTTCTTAGGTGTTTTAATTTTTAAAATATATTTGCATCTAAAAATTATTTTGTTTTGATTTCTGTTTTTTAACTATAGTGAAAATGATGTTTTGAAACAATTTGGCTCTAAAGTAATTTTTAGGGTGATAAACACACACACACACACACGAGGTATATTGGATCCTATCACTCTTTAAGCATAAGATGAAGTCATCTTTTAGAAATTCAATAAATAGGTTGCAATTGCCATCTATTTTATACCTTTAATGAGATAGAATTCACATGCCACAATGTTTACCCTATTTATTTTAATTTTTTTTTTCTTTATTGATTTGAGACAGAGAGGAAGGGAGAGGGAGAGAGAGCTAGAAACATTGATGAGAGAGAACATTGATTGGCTGCCTCCTGCATGCCCCCCACTGGGGATTTGGCCCACAATCTGAGCATGTGCTCTGACCAGGAATTGAACTTGTGACCTCTTGGTGCATGGGTCGATGCTCAACCCATGCACCAAGCCACACCAGCTGGGCTATTTTTAATTTTTTTAAACATTCTTTTAAAGTGTACATTTTAGGATATTCACAGAGTTATGCAGCCATTCTCTAATTCCAGAAAATTTTAATCACCCCAGAAATAAATCCCATTATCTATTAGCACTCACTCCCCATTCCTCCAGCTCCTGACAAACACTAACCTACTTCTGTTTCTATGAATTTGTCTATTCTGAACATTTCATATGAATGGGAGCAAATGCTATATGGCTTTTTTATTTGGCTTCTGTCATTTAGCATAATGTTTTCAAGATGCATCCATGTTGCGTTATGTATCAGTACTTCATTTCTTTTTATGACTGAATAATATTCCATTGTATGGACATACCAAATTTTGTTTAAACATTCATTAGTTTATAGGCATTTAGGTTATTTCCACTTTGGGGCTATTATTAATGCTGCTATGAATATTTTTGTACAAGTGTTTTTGTACATAACTTAAGTTTTGTTGGGTATATGCCTAAAATAGAACTGCTGGGGATAACCATATTTTAGTTGTATGGAAAATGCTTGAAAATGCCAGAGAATTCAGCTAATCATATTTATTATTCCATCCTATTTATAAATTATTTCTTTATAACTTTTTTTCTCTGAATGGCAAAACTTCTTAGGGAAGTATAAACATCATAGAAAATTTCTCACAGATTTAAAGAGAGCTGAACAGCAAGTCAGAGTGGCAGGTGTGGTTTCTGTTTTAAACCTATTGTCATTTATTGAAATTTTCTTGATTAAGTATATTCTTCTAAATTAAATAAAGGATTTATAAATTTTATAGATGAATAATCTTTGGATTAAAAAGTATGTTTTAAAGTATAGAATTATTCTAGTAGTAAAAATTAATTTGCATTAGTATATAAAAACAGTATTCCAATATCTTTCTTTTTTTTTGTTAGTCCTCACCAGAGGATATTTTTCTATTGATCTTTTAGATAGAGTGAAAGGGAGGGAGGGAGGGAGGGAGGGGGAGGGAGAGAGAGAGAGAGGGGAGGAGAGAGAGAGAGAGAGAGAGAGAGAGAGAAATATTGATGTGAGAAAGACACATCGATTGGTTGCCTCCCATACCACCCTGATTAGGGTGGGGAATCAAACACGCATCCCAGGTACGTGCCCTTGGCCAGGAATCTGTGACCCTTCAGTCCATGGGCTGATGCATTACCTGCCAAGCACAACTGTCCAGGCCACCAATATTTATCTTTCTTATCTTAAAAGATATTGATAATGCCTTAGCATGAAGTAAGTGCCCAATCTCTGTTGAATGTTGAATTAATTTAAAAGAGGTTTAAATTTATTTATTTATTTAAATTATAAAAGTACTTCTGATTTTAAAATGTTCTCTTTTCATTCAGCCAGGTTCTTGGATACCTGGAATAGTTTTGAAGTACTGTAGATCCCAGTAAGCTAATTGATAAAGATGTTTATCTTTCCTATAAGAAAACCACAAGTTGCTTGTGTTTTCTAATTAGAATGTTATTAGGCAAGGTGTGCCTTATTCTTTTAATATGTTTTTCTTGATTTTTTAGAGAGAGAGGAAGGGAGAGAAACATTGATGTGAGAGAGAATCATTGATTGGCTGCCTCCAGCATGCCCCCTACTGGCAATCAAGTCTGCAACGGGGACATGTGCCCTGACCAGGAACAGAACTGGACCTCTCAGTCCATGGTATGACGCTCAATCCATTGAGCCAAAACTTCTGGGCTTTGCCTTATTCTTTTGTAACCAACCTACCACTGTCTATTGTGCTACATAAAGCTACTTCACACATTTGCCTCATTTACCTCACCACATTGGGAAGCATCTGAGTTTGTGACCCCTAATTTTTATCTCATCACTTCTGCCTATTACTGGCCTATTCTTGGGGAAAAGGAATTAAAAATGCTTTTGCTTGTTTATTTTTAGAAAACTATCACTTGACGAGTTATGATGAATAAAATAAAATTAAATACTTTAAGGTCACATTTGAGCTTTTAGATAAACTATAAACCAGTTTAAGTAAAAAAAATTACTATCCAAAATATGTGAAATGATGTTGTAAAAAGAAGACAAGAGAGTGATATGAAAGGAGGGGGAGAGCAAAGAAAGACAGGAAGAAGATTTTATTGAAGAAAAATTTGTAATACATAGTAACCTAGTGAAGCCATACAGTAATTTGCAAATATAGTAATCAAACTAAAAATTGATTGGTAAATCTCTGTAGCTTTAATTATTTTGGTATATGTGAATGTAGTTCTTGAGCCATTCTTATAGACATTATCTTAAAAAGAGGAAGCTGGAGTTTGGAATAAGAAAAGGAGAATAAAATGAAGGGCAGAGAAAATGAGTTTTGGATGTAGCCATAAACATGAGAAATAAAACTAGAGGCAAAAAATATCATTCCTGTTTCTGTTAAAGGGATGGCACTGAGATGAATATTTAAAAAATCTGGACAGGAAGTACTATTGTGACATTAATAATAGGAAGTCTATTAGAGGAGAGCTTGAGAAAAATTACCATGTTTTTAATCTCAAATATATATTTTGCATCTCTAAGATTGGGATTGGAGGGATTCAAGAGATGGGATTAATTGCAAATCATAAGATCTGAAAAGTATGAGACATTTGGAGTGAGGTTAGACAAATTTTATTCTTAATTGCCTTGAAATGCATGCCTATTGTGTGTCTAGCAACGCCAAAATAAATTTGCAAGTATCTTATTGAAGCTGTGAATGGGAGTTCCTGAAAAGTTTCTAATGAGCAAGGAATGGTACATTATATAATATTGATTATGTCATTCCCTTTATTTAATATAATCTTCATTTTAATGAACCTAAAAACTGACTTTTCAGTGTTCTGCCTAAAACTTTTTTTTTCCATTATAACTTAAATTTCTCAACTAATCATTTTCCTACGACAGTACTTTCAGAAACATAACCCTCTCAGATGGGAGAATTAGATTTTACTGTAGCTGTTATAAATCATACTCTTACTTATTAAAAACAACTTTGAAAATGGCAAATCCAAATTCAGAGTACTAATTGACAACCAGAATAGTTACACATTTTATGCCTTTTTTCCCTAGAATATTTGATACATACTTTTTGGAGGAAATGATTCAGAAGTTAAAATTGGAACCCTGAACTGATAATGGGGCCATAGTAGTATTTTAAAATTACTGGTTTAGAAAATTAAATTAAAAATAAAAATAAAATAAAGTTACTGGATTAGCCCTGGCCAGATGGCTCATTTGATTGAAACATTGAAGATAGCTTTGCTGGATACAAGATTCTTAGTTTACAGATTTTTTTTTTCTCCCTTTGAGCACTTTGAATATGTTGTCCCACTGTCTCTGGCATCCATTATTTCTGTAATAAGTCAGCTGACTTTGTTTTTTTTTTTTTGTTTTTTTTTTGTATATGATGAGTAATTAAATGTTTGATGCTTTTAAGATTTTAGCCCTGCATTTGGCTTTCAGCAGTTTTACTGTGATGTCTGGATCTCTGCACTTATCCTATCTGTAGTTTGTTGAGCTTTGTGGATATATAGATTAATGTTCTTCAATAAATTTGGAAAGTTTCCAGCCTTCATTTCTTCCAATATTTTTTCTACTACTTTCCTGTCTTTCTAGTACTCCTCTCTTTCTGGTACCCCAGTTTTGCATATATTAGTGCACTTACTGATGTTCCACATTTCTCTGGGGCTCTGTTCATTTTTCTTCATTATTTTTCTCTCTATTCTTTGGATTGCATACTCTTTATAAATCTATATTCAAGTTTGCTCATTCTTTTTACATTGTTTTTTTTTTTTTTTCTTTATTGATTTTAGAGAGAGGGGGAGAGAAAGATAGAAACATCGATGAGAGAGAACATTGATTGGCCACCTCCTGCATGCCCCCCACTGGAGATTGGGTCCACAACCTGGGCATGTGTCCTGACCAGGAATCAAACTGACGACCTCTTGCTGCATGGGTCAATGCTCAATCACTGAGCCACACTGGCTGGACCAAGTTTGCTAATTCTTTTTCTGCCAGTTCAAATCTATTGTTGAGCCCCTCTAGTATATTTATCACTTTAGTTATTATCTATTGAGCTTTAGAATTTCCATTTGGTATTTTATGTTTTTTTTTTCCTTTTTATTGAATTTATTGGGGGGGGTGACTCTGGTTAATAATATTATATAGGTTTCAGGTGTATAATTCTATAATACATCATCTAAACCCATTTGGTATTTAACATTTTTTTATTATTGATTTTTTTTTTTTGATATTTTGTTCAGATAGAGTGGGAGGGAAAGAGAGAGAGAGAAACATCGACGTGAAAGGGACACATCGAGTGGTTGCCACCTGCACGACCCAACCAGGGCCGGGGACAAACTGCAACCAAGGTACATGCCCTTAGCGGGAACCGAACCCGGGTCTCTCCGGACCGCAGGCCGACGCTCTAACCGCTGAGCCAAACTGGCCAGGGCTATTATTGATTTTTTAAATATGATTAATTTTTTAATTTATTTATTTTTGTTACAGATGTTTCTCCTCCCCCCATTGATTCCCCCTCCCCCTCACTCCCCACCCTCTCCCCATCTTTGTTGTCCATGTCCATTGTTCATACATACATGCATATAAGTTCTGTGGTTTATCTCCCCACCCTCTTCAGGGGATTGTCAGTCTGTACCCCACTTCCACGTCTCTGGGACTACCCCGTTCCTCAGACTATTATGTTCATTATATTCCACAAATAAGTGAGATCATGTGATAATAGCCCAAATGTCCATCAGTAGACAAATGGATAAAAACGCTGTGGTACATATACACAATGGAGTACTATGCAGCTGTAAGAAAGAAAGATCTCTTATCCTT